CCAAATCCACTGGTTGTATCACAGAGCAGTTGTTCACTTGACGATGACTGAAGAATTTTCAGTTTTCTAATTACAACGAAAATTATTGACAATTGAAAAAATTTGTGAATCAACAGTGATATTGCAATAAATTTTTGGGGAACTATTTGAATATTAAACTATGACAGAGACGCATTGAAACGAAATTGAAACTATAAAATGAAAATCATGATTGATATAGTGAAAACGAAACCGACCGTATTAGGTTGTTGCTGCTGAAAGACGGGTGATGTGCTGTTAAGAGTATCACTTGAAGTAGGGTCATTCAGCGACGTATTGCTCGATGATGAATTGTTGATGAAATTATTGAGAATGTTCTCGAGATTCGCATTCAGTGGTTTCGAATGTTTTCCAGCTATNCGCTGAATGATTATTGATATTCACTTGATAACACACATCAGTGATAAGGAAGCAGTACGAATGTATTTAGTGAGGGAGTAATACGAATCTCATTCATTTTACACCATGAATATCTCACCGTTTTGCAATTTCTTGTTGCTGCTTTCGTTGTTGTGTTGACGGTGAGATCGTATCATCGTTGGCCAGCTCATCCACTGTTGCGCTTTCATTTAGCACTTTTTGTTTCTCTTGAAGACGACTTTTGGCTCTGCGATTTTTAAACCAAATCTGAAGTGAATTCTTCGATTTTTCGTAGATTTAGAAGAATAGAAATAATAGAAATCGCCTGGTTCCATTCGATTTTTCATGATTTAAATTAAATCGACACACGATTTCGAAAGGATTTTCTCCACAGAAACCATATACCACATTTTGCTGAATAACGATAATTTCATCTCTGCTCAACAATAAATGTAAAGCTTTAGTTCTAGATCAATTCAGTACGGACTTCGAGCAAGGAAACACTTCAACCTGAACACGACTTTCGGCGAGATTAATTTGATCAGCCAGTTTTTGTCGCGTAAAAACATCTGGATAATGTGTGGTTCCATAAAGCTCTTCCAATGCTTGCAGTTGATAGCGAGAGAAGGTCGTTCGACTACGGCGACCTTTACTTATATTGCAACCAGAGACACCTACTTGTCAGTTTCGCATTATTATTGTTATCATTTATCATTCACCTCATAATCATACCACATCATTTACTGTTTACATTATTATCTTTGTCACAATATTATCACTGTTCATTTTAGGTGACTGTGCATGCATAAAAGAAGAAATTTAACGCAAAACGGTATGCCGACTTGAATTTTCCGGAGACCTGGATGAATAAGGAACTTACTAGTGCGATTAATAGCAGATTGCTGGATTGTTGAATCGGTCCAATAGTAATTTGTTGAATTAGGTGTAGCGATTTGAGAAGGTATATAGGTGAACGAAGGTTGGGCGCTTGCAGACGGGTAGAAAAATTGGGGCGGATACAGTGGTAGTGCATATCCATTGTACATTTTTGATTTGAGCACTGAATTTTTATCATTTTTAATATTATTGTTATTATTGTTATCGCTAGTTTTGAAATAAAACCTGTATTAAATATTAAATTACACTCAAACATTGCTATAATAATCATTACTAGTATCATTACCATTGGACTGATTGATAAGAAGAGGAATGAAATAATGAAAGCGAATTCAACAATATAATAATCTGTCAAATTACATATTATGAAATGGTCAAATGAGTGACGACAATGTTTAATGAAGAAGTGATATGTGCGATTATAGGTTACCGACGAGGTATGATCTGAGCGTTCTCGTTTTGATCTGCCCAATAAAACACTGGTATAATCGCCCTGAATCCATACCCTGGCATGTCTTTACAGCATGGACTAATCATCGAGAATATCATTAGTACATCAATATTTATAGATAGTCTCGCAGATTAACTTATCATCACATGTCAGTCGTTGCATTAATGAAACTTTGTTTAGCATAAAATGCATCTAACTAGATATCTTTAAACATATTTTATACCCTTAGGTTAT